GCGCCCAATTCGTGTTTAGAGCCATCGAAATATAATTGCCAAGGTTTTGTGGTTAAGTAAATAACTTCCTTTGTCTCTTTCGAGTGGTCAGCGAGAAAATCTGCAATTATTTGACCTTTAGTTGCTTTTAACGGCTCGAAAGTTAATGAATATTCAGTTAATGCAAGTGCCCATTTACCAACTCGAGAATGTAAAACAGGTTTACACAACATATACTTAATCACATTACTTCGACAAAATATTACAACATCACGAGTCTTAATATAGTACTTCAACTTTGTACAAGCAACATAAAGACTTAAACATAATTTCTCTAAAGGGGAATATCTAATTTCTGCCCCTACTAACATTCGACTTAAATAATAAATGACTCTCTCGATGCCATTATCATCATCTTGCACCAGCATGCCCGCAACAGTCGAATCACTAGCCGAAATATACAACTTCAGTTGCTTCCCTTTAGAGAGTGGTTCAAGCAGTGGAGGATGAGCCAGGTAAGCTTTAATTTCCTCGAACGCTTTCTGGTGCTCTTCATTCAATCGAAATTCTTACTCCTTTTTTAAACGTAACAGAGGAGAGAACACTTTAGTTTTACCAGACAAATTCGAGATAAATCTTCTCAAAAAATTTACTTTACCTAAGAGAGATTGAAGTTCCTTCTTGTTCGATGGAGGTTTAGTCTCCATGATAGCTTTCGTCTTATTTCGATTAACTTCAATTCCTTTCTGGTGTATGACAAACCCCAGAAATTCTCCTGCTGTAACACCAAAAGCACACTTTAGAGGATTCATTTTCAAACCATGCTTTGTCATTCTTTCAAAAGATAATTTTAAATGGTTTAGGTGGTCCTCTTTTCGCTTCGACCGAACAATTATATCATCAATATATACTTGTACAAACTTACCAATTAAATCATGGAATATTAAATTCATTGCCCTCTGATAAGTAGCACCTGCGTTTTTTAATCCAAATGGCATCATCACCCATTCATAGATGCCTAGAGCACCTGGACATCGAAAAATAGTTTTCGATACATCATTAGCTGTAATATAAATTTGGTTATATCCAGAATAACCATCGAGCAAGGTTATAATTTCATTACCTGCAGCGGCGTCTATCATAGTTTCAGCTATGGGCATAGGATACTCATCTTTGGGAGTTGCCATGTTAAGATCTCGAAAGTCAATGCATACTCTGAGTTTTCCGTTTTTCTTCATAACCGGCACTATATTCGAGATCCACTCGGGATATCTTGAAGTTCTGATGAACTTCGCTTTCAGTAATCTTTCAATTTCTCCCTTGATTTTTTCAACTACTTCAGGAGCAAATCTTCGAGGACTTTGCTTCACAGGTTTCTTTCCTGGGATCATGGGTAGCCTATGCTCTACCAACTCTCGATCTAATCCTGGCATTTCATCATAATCCCATGCAAAGCAATCTTTGTATTCATGCAAAACTCGAACTATTTCCTCCTTTAACTTCCCTTGCAAGAACTTGCTGATATAAGTTACTTTCCTATTTTCGACAGTTCCCAGATTAATTTCTTCAAGTGGATCTTGGGACTCTAACTTATGTTCTTCATTGGTGGACCTTTCGAATCCCAGGGGCGAATCATCGAAAACACAATCTAACTTGGGTTCTAGTTCTTGGTCTTTGCACTCTTTGGTTTTTTCGACCTCCTGGTCTCTTTCTATTTTTTCTTTTTCTGTTTGTCTCGAGGCAACTTGGTCTTCCTCGATTTTTCTCTGTTTTTTGTTTTTCTTCATTTTTCCCAACTTCGAGGTCCACATTTGTTTTTTGTTTTTCTTTGTTTTTCCAACCTCGAAGTTTACCTTTGTTTTTTGTTTTTCTTCGGCCACAATGGCCGTACTATTCTTGCCATTTCCAATATACTGTTCCTCGGCCATGTTGGCCGTTCGATCGGCCACATAGGCCGATATTCGAGCTAAAAAGCTCGAGTAAGGATCTTCATCCTTCATTCTTCAGGTGGAGCCAGATCTTTTTCGGCTCGAATCACAAATCCCTTCTTCACGTCCCAGCAAAAATTTTTCTTGACTCCTTCTTCTTCATCCATCACCCCAGAATTGTAAGCATCAAACGGTTTGGTCTTGGCAAATGCTGTCAATTGTTGATTAGCAAAATACATGCCAACTTCATACGTCTTCTGGTCAGCCTCGAGAACCTCCAACCCTTCGTCATCATTCCAGAAGAAAATCTTCTGGTGCACCGTGGAAGGAACAACACCTACCCCATGGATCTACTCTCGACCCAGCAAAACATTAAAATTCACCTTGGATGGCGTCACTATAAACATGGTGGTTCTCTTCACACTCCCAATATGCACATTAAGCAGAATTATGCCTTCAGGGTGTGAAGGGTGTCCTGCGTAGTCAGAGATCATTATGTTGTGAGGCTTCAAATCAGCTAAGGATTTTCCAAACCTCTTCAGCATTATCTTGGGTAGGATGTTCACAGCTGCGCCTCCATCGACCAAGACCTTGTTCACCTCTTGCCTTTCGATCATCAGTGTTAACAATAGGGGCTTAAGATGTCCTTTCATTTCCTCCGTAGGAGAATTGAACACAGCAGAATTGAATTTGGGGATAACCCTCGAGATTTGATTAACCCATATGATTTTGGATTTATAGTTGGGGTCATCAAATAAATCTTCTCGCTGCATATCTTCTAGTTCGTTCACAGACTCCATAGCCCTAGCATACTCTAAGGGTAAAATGGAGACTACCCCACAAATATCTTCCAAAGAATCCTCGAAGCCACTCTCGAAACAGTCAGTTATCATGTCTTCATCGTCTTCGACGAACTTCCGAGAGGATTCCCCTTTCTGAGGGACCGAAACCGAGAAACGATTTCCCCTGACGCCTTCGAAGGTAGCCTTACGCATCCTTTGCTGTCTCCTCCACTGGGTTTTGGTTAGATTGTTGAAAGGCTGTTGAAAGCCACACCCATAGCCTCCAATCGAGACTCCACAGGGTCTTGTAGTCGAATTTGGAGCTTTCCTAAGAATTCCTTGCATTGGGTGTGCAACATAATTCATTATCTGTTTTCCTCGACCTATTCCACCGATTGCAGGCCTTGGTGGTGCACTCTATTTTCCTATCGGTACATTCGCATTCGGCACAAAAGTATTCCCGAATCTTGACGAGTCCCCCCTCCCCATCTTCCCTACTGGAGCATTATATTGAGGCATATGAACCTGCCTCATGGTTAACCCAGCATTCGACTGTGTGTTGAGTCTAGCTTTCTCACGCAGCTTTTCAGCCTTATAACTTTTCATCATTTCCGATTCTTCGAACGCCTTAGCCGCAGCTCTATCAAAAATAGCGCTGCATCGAGGGCACAACATAACCTCTTTATCAGCTTCTTTCTTCTTCGACAGGAATTCAACCAGACTATGCCCTTCTTTTGGGTAAATAAGTTCCTGCTCCTTAGCAAAATCCTCCATTAATTCCTCGAGCTTCTCATCAGAGATAGGTTCGATGTTCTCATCATCTTCGACAGTAACATCCACCATGTTGATCCCCATTGGAACTGGTTCGACATATCCAGTATGAGCAGCGAATGGGTCTGTGTCAACTTTCATATCCTTCTCTCCGAAAGCAAGGCGACTATCAGTAATCACCTTTTCGATCAAATCCCTGAAACGTACACAGTTGTTAGTCCAATGACCATACATATTATGATATTTGCAAAATTTATTTCCTTTTCTCTGCTCGAATGATGGGATCTTATGATTTTCTGGGAGTACAATTTGTTTATCTTTTAGTAAGATATCAAATATCTTTTCTGCTTTAGTTACGTCGAAACTATATTTCTTAATCGAATTTCCTTCTACACTATCTCCTGGTTTTAACATTTGACACTGATACGTGGGGCCAGGACGTAGTTCTGCTAGGTTGATCTCAAAATCTTCACTCGAAACCTCACAGTTGGGATCTTCACTGAATTCAGAATTTTCTAAGTAAGCCACCTTTTCCTTTCGAACAAACTTATCAAATTTTCTTAATCTTTCTTTTTCTATTTTGATTTGCTCAATTCTTCTTACCTTCTCGGCTAATTGGGTCATGTCTCTCAACTGTTCATTCACTAATTTTTTGCGTATCGAGAAATCTAACCCCGTTGCTGCAATCCTAACTAATTCATGTTCAGGTATATTAGTATAACATCGAGATTTCAATTGCCTGAATCTATTTAGATAGTCATCTAAAGTTTCGTGGTTCTGCCTCTTAATGTTCATTAGATCGACTATACTCACTTTCGTTTCTTCTCTGAAGAAATGTTCATGGAAACTACCTTCTAACTGAACCCAAGTGTGTATCGAATTCGGGGGCAAGGTTGTGAACCATGTAAAAGCGTGTTTAGTCAATGAACTTGGAAAATATTTCATTTTTAAATACTCATTATTTGCCAAATCCCCACATTCGACTCCATACCTAGCTATGTGTTCGACTGTTGACTCAGTTAACTCTCCCACAAATTTTGAAAACTTTGGTACTTTTATTCCTCGAGGTAGTTCTACTTTAGTTATATAATCTGGGAAGGCTGACACAAAATACGGACGTTCATTTCGACCTACATCGAATCCATGTCTATTCAGTATTCTTTCTACCATTTGATCTAAGTTGTCCTGTGGATTCCTATTAGGTCGAACTACATTCTGATGAAAATTCTCATTCCCTCCAGGATTTTCCATTTCATTCAGATTCGCACTCATGCCTCTCGAAGGTGTCCCATCACCTAATTTGTCTCCTATTTTATTTATCAATTCATATAGAGGAGTCATAATATTATGCATTTGCGTTGACAACAAATTAACCATGTCATGATTACTATGGTCCATTTGTTGTCGAAGAGCCATCATGGCTTGGTTACTAATACCCGTAGGTACATAAGTGCCTTGTCTAATCAGAGAACCCTCCTGACTTGTTCCTACATGTTGATATGGGTCATGCATAAAAAAACCCATGCCATTCGGCCCAAGATTATATCTCTGTGGGGATACATGCATTTGTGAATTGGGTCCTATTAACGGTATTGGCATTTCGACATGCACAGGTTGGGTCTTTTGCCAATTCTGTGGCATACCCCAGGGATATTCCCTAGTGACATTCGCTAGTTCCTGAGTAACATTTGTTTGCCTAGCTGTGTTTTCAAGTAATACAGGGGATGAAGACGTTGCCCCCCTGGTGACATTAGTCACATTATCAGGATTGGAATTTGCTTGTTCTACATCTACGTGATTATTATTGTTGGTGCCCGTTTCTCTATTAGACGTAGACATTGTTCTTCCACTCCTAATTCTCGTGCAACACACATACCCAAAACTAGTCCAATTATGTTTGATTTAAACAGGTCCCACCGGGCGTGCCAATTTGTTTAGGTGAAACTTGGTTTATGGATTCTTTTTACTCGAATTAGCACTACACGCGTTTCAATTTAGGTATGTTTCGGTTTGAGATATTTAGAGTATAACGAGATGGAGTAGAACGATTTAAAAGCTACTTGTTTCCAAATATTCATCAATGACCAACAAGTAATAAAATTCATGAAAGTAAATCCTTAAATAAACAGAATGAACGATAGATATATTTATAATACATATCATGGTTCACTTTTGCAAGGTTTAAAAGAATATAACGTTGATGATAATTGAACATTACAAGATTAAAAACAAGAAACTACGCTAATTCTACTCCTATAAAACGAAAATGAAAATGGCCGAGAAGGAATCATACCCAAAAACAATTCCATGCACAAAAGCCATAGCACAGGCAGAGAGTGCTTCAGAGTGTAGTTTTAGTATGAAATTTTCCGACCTTGTGACAATGCAGGCTTCTTGATTTTATAGAGTGAATCAATGACGGTTAACTCACTCAAACGTTCGTGCACGTAGGCCACTATGAGATAATCGCTACCCACTATGCTCATTAGGTGGCTTCTAAAGTGTAACTTCTCATAACCGTTCTTCGCGTATACTATAACCTCTCGACTTGGACGCTAATTGTCTTTGTATGGTCATAAGTACTCACACAACTTCACCAAGTCTCGAGCATTGTTCAACTCAAAATAATTGTCTTCGATCTCAAATCAACTATTGACAGGGGTTAATCTCAATTTTTCGAGAAGTTTTATATATGCTTCGAAGTTTTCGACTATATTTTTAACATGAATACATAAAACTCCTAATACGTTCCAGACAGGTTTTCATCCTCCTCCATCTTTCGACTAGCTTCATAAGTACATTTTTTGATTTCCCTGATTTTCGAGTAGCCTCAACATCAGTATGCAACACTTACAATAATATAGGATTTGCTTCCACCATGAGAGAAAGGTTCCACTCTCGAAGGCCGAAGGCTTAGTGGCAAGAAATATGAGAGGAGTGATTCCATAAATGTTTCGTGTGTACACAAGTATAGGATAGCAATGACTAATTATAATTGCCAAATCTGTCAAATCACACAAACGAATCATTAACCAATCAAAACTTTTAACCAATCAAGTTCAATTATTTAGCATAAATAAATTTCTTTTGTCTAAATCTTTGTATTGCGTTGTACGTGTTGTACGTTAAAATAGTTGCAAAAAATAAGCGTCAAGTCAAAAAAGTTGATATTATTTTAAGGTGTAACTTCAGTTTTTTTACACTAACCCCTTAAATTAAGTTTATATAGTATCAAAAAATCGACGCTATTTTTTAACCAATACAAAAAAAAAATGTGCTGACTTATATATATATATATATATATATATATATATATATATATATATATATTTTTTTTATCTTAATTCAATAAGTCACATGATAATATATATATATATTCTTTTTAACTGTCAACTAAAATTCAATTTTTTTACCTACGTACGACAATATCGACTATATATAATTTGAATATATCTATACGTGCTAACAATAAGAATTTATGATTAAATTTTAGAGAATAAAATATGCAATTATAATTAATTAAAAATCTAATTACTGATAATTATAACTTTATAATTTATTAGATATGTACATAAATTTTATCATTGTATCAAATCTTGGTTTTAAATGAAAAATTATACAAATACGTTCTTTTTCTCTTCAAATTCATCTTCATCACATTTTCTATCTTTTTCCCCTTCACTTTTATCACCTTTTTTTTGTTCCTTATATATCTTCTTTTCGTCTCATCTATTTTTTTTTTTCACCTCATGTACTGAAACATGGATCGGATGATTTATCATAATTAACACTACTTAATTAAGGTAATGTTTCACTTTATACTATACAATTAATCTTGTATTTTACAGGCTACATATTTATTATATTTAACTAAATTTTATAATAATTATATCTATAAATAAATACTACATTTAAATGTATAAATTAATTTAAAATTTGTATGAATATATATTTTTAAATATATAATATATATTTTTAAATATATAAAATATATTTTTAATTTATAATAAATAAATTATATTACAACATAAGATTATTTTTAATTATTAATAATTTATTTTAAAATTATTAAATTAAATTTATAAATAAATAATTAAATATGGTAAATAAAAATATTCACTACTAGAAAAGTGTCATTTTTCTGCAAATTTTCCTACAAAAAAATATTCGCAGAAATTTTTTACGAATTTTCTTGCAATAATAATTTTGCAAAATTTTTTACAAATTTATTTGAGAAAAATAATTTATAGATATTTCTTTAAAAAAAATTTTATGAAAAATAATTTACAAGAAATTTTTGTAAATTTTGCTACAATTTTAATAATCATAGAAATTTTTTTCTATGGTAAAAATTAGCAGAAAATATTGTAAGAACTTTATTTTGTTTCTTGCAGATTTTCTTGCAAAAATAAATCGCAAGTAATGTTTACTAAATGGTAGAAAAATTTTGTAAGTAACTTTTTCTGCAGATTTTTCTGCCAATTTTAATCCGCAGAAAAAATTTAAAAAAATATTTAAATTTATAAGTTTAATATTTTAAAAAAACTTCAAGTCGCACATCAACTGAAAATAAAACAATTAAAGAGTATATAAGTTGGGACAACACTTACCTAACAAGTTGATTTGTATGATTGAGTATTAGACCTGTAATCTATAATCTTAGAATTTAAAAGATTATGTATCATATGTTGGAGGCATGGAAGTAAATGCTTCGGATGCATTCATTGTGAGCATTCGAAAGTTGAAGAATTATTGATAGAATTTATAGCAATTTCTTTAATTTTTTTCGTAAAAAAATATTCCTGCAGAATTTCTTGTAAAAAAATTCGTAGGAAACTTTCCTACAAATTTCGCAAAAATATATTATCTACGAAAGTATTACTTGTAGATAAAATTTTGCAGAAAAATTTGTAAGAACAATGTTTCCTGCGAATTTTTCATAAAAATTCGTAAGAAAAGTCATATGTAATAAGAGAAATTTTAGTAGTGATTAAATTAGATAAGAAGTAAAAAAGTATCCTTAAAAATGATCTTGTTGGAGAATAATCTCCAAAAACACTCTTGTGTAAGATAACCGTTCATATTTAATGTATAGAAGTTGATTAAAAAATTGTATTTTTGATCAAAAAGATTAAAAAAGTATTTTTGTTTTTGTTTTGAAAGACTTTACAATGCAAGGAAATGAATCAAATTGTACTGGTTTAACTATTACAAACTATTACTCTATGATCACTAACTTTGTGTTAAATTAACAGACAGAGGATCAAATTATACTAGTACAATTTTTAATAAGTATTATATCATTTAATAACTTTATATTAAGAATAATTTTTTTTAATTCAACTATTGAATTATAACTTTATATTATCATTGTATTTATGTCAAATTTTATTAAAATTGATCAATAATAAGAAACTAATAAAATTATTCATATTTTAATATATTTTCAAAAGTATATATTATATAAAGTTTGACCTATATAAATGTGGTATCTAATAATTTTAGATTCATATAAAATTATATATATATTATTTAAGTAAAAATTATTTTCAATATAATAGTAAGTGTTCCTACCGTAAATCCGCTGTCATCGTTAGGGTCACCGCATCCGAGGTATTGTCCGCTTTGGCGCTCGTTGGGCCGTCACGGTTTTGTCCTTGAAAAAGCGCCTCAGTGGGTTAAGGAGGAAGGGTGTTTATAAACTACCCTTAGCCTCGACTCCTAAGCGATGTGAGACTTTTAGGCATACCAGAACAAGCCCCCTAGTCGATGCTAAGGGGCAAGAGTGGCTAGCTTGGGCCCTCCTTCTAGCGCCAATGTTCCTACCGTAACGATGCGGTGACCCTAACGATGACAGCGGATTTACGGTAGGAACATTGGCGCTAGAAGGAGGGCTCAGGCCACTCTTGCCCCTTAGCATCGACTGGGGGCTTGTTTCGGTATGCCTAAAAGGCCCACATCGCTTAGAAGCCGAGGCTAAGGGTAGTTTATTAACACCCTTCCTCCTTAGCCCACCGAGACGCCTTTTCAAGGACAAAACCGTGACGGCCCAACGAGCGCCAAAGCGGACAATACCTCGGATGCGGTGACCCTAACGATGACGGTGGATTTACGTTAGGAACAGTAAGTTTTAAAAATATCTCATTCAATTAAAAGTTATTAAATGATATAATAATCGATAAAAGTTACATTAAGTATTTTGATCTTTTCCTAATATAAAGATAATTTGTATCAATGAATATTTTACACAAATAACTTAATTATATAAAAATAAAATTGTTTCGGTAATAAAAATATGAATATGGAATTAAAAGGTTGCTTACCAAAGAATTCTCTCCAAATGGCAGCATGAAGGATGGTATCCCCATCATTGTTCCTAAGTGGAACATCCAAATCATTGGAAACATGATAGAGGTACACAAAGGTGTTTGTTTGGCATGTGAGAACAGCCCCAAACAAAGGTGTTTCACCCTTGTTGTTCTTAACCTTAATCAAATCCCTCCTTTCGCCAGCTTCCCCTATGATGCACTTACACATACCAATGAACCCTCTTGAAGCTGCAAGGTGCAAAGGAGTGTCCCCTCTCTCATTGGTTGATCTCAATGCACTATCATCTCTCAACACTTCCCTCCTTTCATGCTCTATGATTGCATCAACAAGAATGTCCACAACTTCCATTAACCCATCATTCACTGCCACGTGTAGTGCAGTGCCACTGCTTTCGTTGATCTTTATCTTGTGGAAATCACTGTTGTTTCTATACGCCGGAACAACGTCATCCCATTCCCCTGCCAATACGCAAACTCGGAACGATGAAAAAGCCTCGTTGTCAACTTCCGTTCCTTCAGTTATTGTTGGTGATTCTGGAGAAACAACGGATTAATTCGTGTGAGAATTAATGGAATCATATAATACCCACATGGATACAAATATCATAAACCAGCCATAACCGGGCCACAAAAACATTAACTATTAATTTACATTAGAGATTATAAAGATTTTTACGATGAGAATAGATCCATGTTGTCAACTTCGTTTACTTCAATATCTGGTGATTTTATGAAAAACAAAGAATCTGTGACGTGGATGCAAATTATTTAGTATTTACATTACATTAAAATCAGGAAGTTATATATAGGATGAGAGCCATTTTGATAAAATAAGTCTATATGGGAAGATTTAGTTAAACTCATTCTTAACATCTAAGATGATAATAAAACAAAATTTGATTCTCATTAGTCTTGAGGGTGAGAAATTAATTACAATCATTTTACACACACTAAGATTAATAGTACTGAGCATGATGGGGTATATTAAGAAAAACTTACAAGTCCTAAATCAACTAAAAATAAAATAAATAAAAACTATATAAATAGAGGATAATGTCTATTTTAGAAGCTAGTTCTATAGAGATGAGTTAAACTCAAACCCACTTTCTATAAATTTTTTAATATTCATACATTAAACGCAATAGTGCTAAACATGAAAAATGCAAGTCTAATCTATCTTACATCATCGAAAAAAATTATTTTCCATTTATCCATGCACTAAACTTAATAGTGTAATAGAGTATATTGAAAAAAATTCACAAGCCTTACATCAACTTAAAAATAAAATAAATAAAGAATATATAAGAGAGAAACATCCCTCATCTTATACAAATTAATTTTATAGGAGTGAGTTAAACCTCAAACCCGTCGACCTTTAACGAGAGTACCGGGATTCGTGCTCGACCTCAGGTTTACGTGAATGATTTGATTAAGGTTCGTATTCGACCTTTAACGAGAGTACCGGGGTGGGTTCGTGCTCGACCTCGGATTTACGTGAATGATTTGATTAAGGTTCATATTTGACCTTTAACGACAGTACCGGGGTTCGTGCTCGACCTCGGGTTTATGTGAATGATTTGATTAAGGTTCGTATTCGACCTTTAACGAGAGTACCGGGGTTCGTGCTCGACCTCGGGTTTATGTGAATGAATGATTTGATTAAGGTTTGTATTCGACCTTTAACGAGAGTACCAGGGTTCGTGCTCGACCTCGGGTTTACGTGAATAATTTGATTAAGGTTCGTATTTGACCCTTAACGAGAGTACCGGGGTTCGTACTCGACCTCAGATTTACGTGAATAATTTGATTAAGGTTCGTATTCGACCTTTAACGAGAGTACCGGGGTTCGTGCTCGACCTCGGGTTTATGTGAATGATATTCGACCTCAAACTAAAGTTGAATGAACTTTTAACGAGGTTCATATTCGATCTCAATTTTGAGTGAAACGATTGAACTAAGGTTCGAATTTGACCTTGGGTGAGAGTATCGAGGTTCGTATTCGACCTCTAATTCGAGTGAAACAATTGAACTAAGGTTCGAATTCGACCTTAGGTGAAAGTATCAAGGTTCGTATCCGACCTCAAATTCGAATGAAACGATTGAACTAAGGTTCGAATTCGACCTTAGGTGAGAGTATCGAGGTTCGTATCCGACCTCAAATTCGAATGAAACAATTGAACTAAGGTTTGAACTTGAACCTTGGTTAAGAAAATATAGTCTCAAGGTTCTGACTCGACCTTGGCATATCAAGGTTCGAACTCGACCTTGATTAAGAAAATATAGTCTCAAGGTTCGGACTCGACCTTGGTGTAACAAGGTTCGTGCTCGACCTTGGTTAAGAAAATATAGTCTCAAGGTTCGGACTCGACCTTGGCATAATAAGGTTCGAACTCGACCTTGGAATTTTAACGAGGTTCGGACTCGACCTCGGGGAAGAATATTTAAGGTTCGTGCTCGACCTTATAATTTCAACGAGATTCGGACTCGACCTCAGATAAGAGTATTTAAGGTTCTTGCTCGACCTTATAATTTCAACGAGGTTCGGACTTGACCTCGGATTATGGGTTAGACGATTTGGCGAAGTGATGAGCGAAGTGGTTTGATTAAGGTTCGAAGTCAATCTTGTGGGGATGTCGAAGTTCGCATTCGACCTCGAATTTGTGATAAACTGGCTAATGAAGGTTCGAATTTGACCTTTAAGTGAGAATGTTGAGGTTCGTACCCGACCTCAAATTGGGATGAACGAAGGTTCAGACTTGGCCTTAGTTGAGAATATTGAGGTTCGTACTCGACCTCGGATTTATGTGTTTGAGGTTCGTGCTCGACCTCTAATTGGGATAAACGATGGAGGTTCGGATTTGACCTTTAAGTGAAAATATTGAGGTTATAGAGGTTCAAATTCGACCTTTGAGTAAGAGTACCGGGGTTCGTGTTCGACCTCGGGTTTACGATTGATTTGATTAAGGTTCGTAATCGACCTTTAACGAGAGTACCGGGATTCGTGCTCGACCTCGGGTTTACGTGAATGATTTGATTAAGGTTCGTATTCAACCCTTAACGAGAGTACCGGAGTTCGTACTCGACCTCGGGTTTACGTGAATGATTTGATTAAGGTTCGTATTAGACCTTTAACGAGAGTACCGGGGTTCGTGCTCGACCTCGGGTTTATGTGAATGATTTGATTAAGGTTCATATTCAACCTTTAACGACAGTACCGGGGTTCGTGCTTGACCTCGGGTTTACGTGAATGATTTGATTAAGGTTCGTATTCGACCTTTAACGAGAGTACCGGGATTCGTGCTCGACCTCAGGTTTACGTGAATGATTTGATTAAGGTTCGTATTCGACCTTTAACGAGAGTACCGGGGTGGGTTCGTGCTCGACCTCGGATTTACGTGAATGATTTGATTAAGGTTCATATTTGACCTTTAACGACAGTACCGGGGTTCGTGCTCGACCTCGGGTTTATGTGAATGATTTGATTAAGGTTCGTATTCGACCTTTAACGAGAGTACCGGGGTTCGTGCTCGACCTCGGGTTTATGTGAATGAATGATTTGATTAAGGTTTGTATTCGACCTTTAACGAGAGTACCAGGGTTCGTGCTCGACCTCGGGTTTACGTGAATAATTTGATTAAGGTTCGTATTTGACCCTTAACGAGAGTACCGGGGTTCGTACTCGACCTCAGATTTACGTGAATAATTTGATTAAGGTTCGTATTCGACCTTTAACGAGAGTACCGGGGTTCGTGCTCGACCTCGGGTTTATGTGAATGATTTGATTAAGGTTCGTATTCGACCTTTAACGAGAGTACCGGGGTTCGTGCTCGACCTCGGGTTTATGTGAATGAATGATTTGATTAAGGTTTGTATTCGACCTTTAACGAGAGTACCAGGGTTCGTGCTCGACCTCGGGTTTACGTGAATAATTTGATTAAGGTTCGTATTTGACCCTTAACGAGAGTACCGGGGTTCGTACTCGACCTCAGATTTACGTGAATAATTTGATTAAGGTTCGTATTCGACCTTTAACGAGAGTACCGGGGTTCGTGCTCGACCTCGGGTTTATGTGAATGATTTGATTAAGGTTCGTATTCGACCTTTAACGAGAGTACCGGGGTTCGTGCTCGACCTCGGGTTTATGTGAATGAACACCACCTAGGTAAACCTCTATACTAATGAGGATGCTATACTGTGCAGGGTTTTTCCAACCTCGCTCAAGGGGGCTACACTCAACTGGTATACCCAGCTACCTGCCGAGTCATTTGACAATTTCGGCACTCTAGTATGGAGATTCACGACGCA